TCCCCCCCGCAGGGATCTGAAAGTTAGGAGGCAGGTGGGAAGATCTGGATTTGAACTTTGCAGTTTTGGACTCTCATTACTTGCCCCAATTCCCGAAAATGCTTGAGTCCATCTCTATTGGGGCTACTGCTTCCATTTTAGCAGGTTTGAAAGTGAATGTTTTAAATGAAACCTGTGTTCAACAGCAGTACTTTCCCAAATCTGGGACCATTATCTAAAGAGATAAAAACATTTATTTCTATGCTTACTATGGGCTATGAAACTGGACAGAAATAATTGCCTCTTATTAAATACAACAAACTGGAGTGTTCAATTAAAAGAAAACCAGACCAAAAATCCCCTTGGGGCCTCAAAAATCACACTGAAAGGCTGATTTAAATGTTTTCAGCCAATATATTTCTGGTTGTAATGAAAATACTTTGAGCTGCTATGAAAGGCTGTAGAGAACTAAATTCATTTTCCATACAGCGGAGAAGAATCATTGAGGATATTATTTAGGTTTACAAAATATTTAATGGGGTGGAGAATGTGGAACCAGATAAGAAAGGTTAAGCTGAAGGACATTTTAGCAATGTTTGGTTTTCGGTCAGTTGTGGAATACATACAGGTTAATGAGATGATTAAGTATAAACTTCCTCTGTGCCACAGCAAGCTCTCTAAGGTTGAAAAGAAAAACAGACTTGGATACAGCTGTTAACTCTAGCTAAAAATTTCCAAAGAAATTTGCAATTTGGGGCATATAGAGCTTCTTGACAATCAGGCCTCTTTTGCAGGTCATACAAAATCATTAGCCTTTTAGCAAAGTCTTGGTCTCTGCCTTCAGGATGCCATCACTGCTTTCTAGGTCCTATGGATACTGGGCCTGAGCTGTGCTGGATGCTATGATGTATTTACTCATTACGTTTGAAGCTTCATCCTCATTGTATTTTCCCTTCTACCCCTCACCTTCAGTCATGAGCTGAACACACTTACTTGCCCAGGGGGATTTGACAGTTCTCAGTGATGCTTCAGGTTTTGATCTCTGACCTCTAATGCTCTCTACTACTTACTCATATAATGGCTTTGGGATTTCCATGCAATACAATGTCCATACAGTATCCCCAATGTTATAATGTACAGGGCCCTGGCAGATGTTACCATTAAGGAATATTTAACATTTTCCTGACTCTTCTCTGCATGCCACAACAGGCATTTACTGGCTTCTGGCAGAATCTGCACTTCTGGAGTGATTAACATCTTCCCAGCGCTTCTCAGGGTTGGGGCCCGCTCCCAGTGCCAAGCTCCTTGCGTTAGCGATTGCATGATTGGGATCTGATTCCAAAAACATACATCCTGCCATGCATGTGCCATTAAATGAACATCTGCAAGAGGCACAATGAAACAAATAGCCATGCTTTCAAGGCTACCTTCAGCCCTAAGACACTACTCCAATGCTTCCTTGGAGTTACCACTGAAGCCTTTAGGTCAGGTGGGCTGCCAGGATAAAATAGCATGGCTCTACTGAGTCATACAAGCTGGAGTGCATAAATCCTGATGGTGTCCAAATTTCACATCCTTCCTGGGGTTTGGCTACACTAGTAACTGAAAATAATATCAAGTTTCACTGATGGAAGCGTTAGCCTATGCTTCCTGCGTGAACTTGGTTGTCCATTGCATTTCTTTCCCAAATCTCCTATAATTGTGTACCTAAACAGAAGGTAACTGCTCCACCTTAATATCCTTAGCAGGAGCTAAGAGGATCAACTTGTCAGCACAGCTCCAGCATCGATTACAGATTGTAGCTTTGAAGGAATCTTAAGGTTTCATCGAGACCAACCTTCTTAGCAGTGATGCAAAGACAAAATAGGGAGGGATGGTGGATAGCAGTTTATGCACAAGTTCTTACAACGTCACATGGAAATAACCAACTTTTGTGTTATACTGGGCTGTATGATATGCGTATACAGCCCAATATAGTAGAACCCAGGTCACGGATGGTCGCAACCTGCCTAATTTGCCACAAGTTGATGAGTGAAGGACAAGCCACCCAGCTGTTTCCACTCACCAGGAGCGCTCAGCTGTAGCTGCACATCTTCCCAGTTAGTTTTGCAAACCCTCAATCTCTTCTAGGGCTGAAGAACCTAATCCAATAAATTATCTGTGTTCTACTGCATACATGACTTCAGAGTTAAGAGAGATAATAGTCTATGATCAAACTGACCACATCTATAGCACACGCATGCCCGAGTTCAGTGGGACACAGACACAATGAAAGGGGTCCATGGAAAATATTATAGACACGATTAAACCAGTGGAAGGAGGCTGGATTAGTTGTGACATGCAAAGCTATTTTTCCCAGACAGAAGAAACCATGCTATAGAAAAAGTCCTATGGTAGCAATATGGACCAGATGAGTTTTTATCCCATCTCTAACTCAAATTCTGTGGTTCCAGAGGAAGAATTATTTATAGAAGTGGATAGAAAGATGGGATAAAACTGAAAAATGAGGCCAGATGTCAGAAAACATTTTCTAACACTAAGGTCAATTGGGCCATAAAATAGTCTTGCAAGGGAAATGTAAATATCCCTATCTCTGCAGCGATTCAGCTTAAACAGCACTTGAAAATACACATTAGGGAACAATCCAACATAGGCAGCCATTGAACTAGATGACTGGAAAAGTGTTTTTCATCTCCAAAACTTATAGCGTTTATGATCTTCAAGATAGCTGTTTGTACCACATACCCCATAGAGAGTCATCACAGATTAAGGTTCTCTCTGAACCCTTAATTTGGCCTGCTTGTGCATATGCATTATGATACAGTCTTTAATTACATGATCACTGCATACTGTATTTTCCCTGGGATTCATATCTCATTCAGTTTTCGGTACGGATGGGGTATTGTTCAGTGTGGGACCTTATGCCTCATTTACTGTATACTATTCAAACAGCCTCTGAAGACAGAATGATGTACTTTATCGTGGGTTTTTCTTAGGTTGTTTTTGAAATAATTCATTGGTGGGAAGCACTTATATACTATAGTCATCTCAGACCCCTGTGAAATGAAGGCGTGGTAACTCCATTCTACAGATTGGGAGGTGAGATGTAGAGAGAGTCAGGTAAAAACAAAAAAAAACAAAGGCTAATTTTGGATGCCCACTATCAGATGCCAACAACCTGATTTCTCAGAGTACTTTGCATTATACAACATTTTATATGGTCAAAGCATGGCACTCCAGTGACTACAATCACAGCTACAAGTGCTCAGCATTAAAGCTGATTGGTCTCATGGTCTCACACCGAGCAACCAGAAACATCAATCGTACCTAGTGACCACCTGCAAAAACATTGGTGTAAGTAATTTTTCCAGCATCCATCCTTCCTTCACACCCGTTCCCCAACTCTTTATTTCCCAGTTTCCAGACATAATTGTCTTGTCCAGTTCCCTTGTTCCTCCTTTTTGGATTCTTGTCTGATCGCACTGTTTGGTGACTCCTGAGAATGGGCTCCCAATCCCCCTACCCTTGCCCTCAATGGCACCTATTTCCAACTTCCCAGTCCGAGTCTTTCCTTTCCCCTCAACTCTCGTTCCCAGTCTCTTATTTCAACAATGCCCCTGTAGCCTCTTCCACTATCTCCAGCTCTCAGTTCTAGTCTTTTCAAAAATGACCCCTGGCAGTCTCTCTCTTTCCCCAGTCTCACTAAGCTCCTTGTCTCCCCCATGCCATATCACGTCTTGTCTTTTCTGTCTAAATGTCAGGCACGTTCCTCCTCCATGAGGCCTGTGAGCCATCAGGGATCGCTGATAAAACAACAGAGGTAGGATTCCTGCCCTCGGCTCTGATGCCAGGCCCCATTCTTCTTGAGTAGCAGCAATGACAAGACACAGAAAAATTCAGCACAAAGAGTTAAAAATGTTATCCCATTATGACCCACAGAATAAATGGGAAAACGATGGGAAATGTTTGCCCACCTTAAGAATAGGTGGTGTTACCAACCCAAACTTGCATACATGGGAAAGGGTGGCTCTTATTTTTTCTGCTGTTGAACTCAAGCCTTCTGCCATGAATTACTTTATCATGAGGCATAAATACACTCTTAAACAAGATTAAACACAAATGTTCTTTAGCGGCATCTAAAATAATACAAATGTTTTTAGGACTGCAATAAACACACTTCATGATGCAAATAATTACACCCTGCGGCTTTTATGTAAAGATTAGGGGCCAGATTCAACTCGGCAACACTGCCCTAAATCTAGAGTAACTACACTAACTTAATTCCACTCTCCACTGATATCAGAAATGATGGGGAATTACTATCAGCTAAATTTACACCAGGGTAGCTCTGATTAGAATCTGCCTATTTGTCTCATCTCGCTTCCATAACGGCCTCTCAGTTAACGCTGGCAGAACTCCCTGGAAGCACTGTCAGAAGAAGAAAAGAAAAGAAATGAAGGTGGATTTGTTTAAAAGTTCACGCTAGTTAGGAGTAACGCAACTGATTACCCTTTGGGTCCTAGGAGTCCATCTCAGAGAGTAATATGGTTGATATTTTAATTTTTTAAAATTTACTCAGATATTTATACAGAGAGAGTAAAATGGTTGGTTTCGGAGAGAGTAAAAATGGTTTATTCAGAGAGTAAAATGGTCAAAATCAGTTGATATTTTCCTAGAAAAGAGGGATTTTGCTCATATTCTGGATTCTATGTGCAGTGTTAAATTTAATTGACTTCCTCATGCAACTAAAATAATCCTGTACTGGTTGGATGCTGTCAGATTATTCTGAGATCCTGCAGTGAGTTCAAAATAGATCCCTATATGTAACAACTCGCAAAATTATTTAGCTGATTGGGTTGTTTTTTTTTTTAATCTAGCCATTAAACACCAAAATGTTCTCTCTGAGCTTTGTATGCATATTTATTGTTTCAGGAGGCGACAAACATATCACCGTTTTGATACTCTCCTAATCTATCCTTTCTGTTGAATCTAGAAGGAAAAAAAAAGGCCTCTGCTCTTACCGGGACTTGTGAGGGCTCCCAGAGCACCAGTTGTTGTGGAGAGAGGATTTGCATTGGTGGTGGTAGCTGAGGTTTGGGCGGCGGCTGCTGCGGCTGCTAAAGTTGCCAAATTCTGTAATTGTAAAGCGTTCATGCCTGTAGAGAGAAGAAAACAAAGCTTCAGCAACAGGGATCATTAAGAAACACTGATCAATGATCCCCACCAACATACCTCACCTCTGTCTCAAACGGTGGCTACTCTTGTGGTTAAGGATATCTCAGCTGAGTTCCCACCTCTGGTACAGATTGGCAGCAAGACAAGTCACTTAAGGTTGCTTAGAGATATGAAACCCTCCACCCGCAAACAGCGCTTTACTTTGAGTTCAGTGCATCCCTATGGCAAGTGCAGCGAGTGCCCTGAAGTCTGACCTGGCTTGCCCAGCGTCTGTAGAGCTCACGCGCTTCAGCAGGGCTTTTTACTGCTCCTATCTAATAGGTGATCGAGTCTATAAGATTCAAGTCACTCAGAAGAGAGATGCCTATGCCTAGGTGGTAGGAATAGGACGTAGGAAATGCTAAGCATGAGCATGTAGATTAAGGTCCAATTCAGGGCGGAGGTACCCACCTGTACTGGGATGCCTATCTTGCCAAAACTGTGAAGTATAACACTTCTCATTCAGCCCCGAATATGTGGTGGAGCTTTCCTCAGGTGAACTAAGTTAGGGCTGGCTATTTTTTTTGGTGCCTGATCTAACCTTCCCTAACATCTGTACAGATCAGCACTTAGATCGACAGATCAACCTAACCCTACTTAGGTTGACCTAACATAACATCTGCGTGTACCCTTAAGGTCTCTCAATTCCTATCACCTATAAATTTTTTTTTTTACAAGACACAATAAAACTACTCTAATTATAAGGCACTAATAATCCAGGTAATTGGCTGTAACTACTGTGTCATGTAATCACAGGTCATCATTGAGTTTACTTAGCTTTCTAACACAGCACTTATCATGTTCAAGTGCTTTACAATAATACCTTTGAAATTGTAAAACCTCTGTAGTTTAATTATACGGACACTTCAAATTACCAAAGAATTAGTGAAGGGCAAACCCACCTGAAGAAAATCAGCTGACTGAAACATAGTTCAAGTCCTAAATTAAGTCTTCTTTTGAAATACAAAAGAATTTGGTGAACTTTCTAAAATAGCTTTTGTTGCATGAACCTCTAATATAGTTTTAGATGCCAGAGGAGGACGAAATTCTAAAATACTCCAAGGAAGCCACTCTCAGAGGTTTTCCTAGCTGAGGAAAACCAGGGGATATTGGAAATTTCACATGAAAGCTTACTGGGGTGGAGGTTGTAGGTGTGTTGATCTAAGGACATAGGCAGACAAGGTTCTTTGGGTGAATCCGATATCTTTTATTAGACCGATGGAAATAGTTGGAATTTTTTTTTTTTAGCAAGCTTTCAGGTTTAAAAACCCTTCATCAAGCTGAGGAAGCCTCTGCAGTTGGTGTGTGCTCTTCCTGGATGAAATGAATAGTAAAGAAGCCTTTACATGAAAGCTTATTACTCCAAACTGGTTGATACAGAGCCCAGCTTCAAGGGGTTTGTCTGCTACTAAACCACCAGGAATTTCCACACTTGCATTTGCTTAGCAAGAATGAGACCATGATGGTGCTAAATTCTTGCTATGACAATGATAGCATTGGCAGAGATATGGAGATGCCTCTGAGGCAGCATATAATAAGGCTACCTGGAGAGCATGGTCAACCTTTTACAGGTTGAAGCAAACCCGTTCTCTTGCACCAGTTCAGCTGTGCTTGCTGATGCAGAGGGGAAGGTTGATTATGATCCTGCCCTTCCCCATCCCCTAGAGTTTCTAATGTTGCTTGCTGGTACTGGGGGCTTTTACAACCTTGCACTCAGTAAGCCCAAGGCTAATGACAGTCTGGCTCTTACGCACGGGCAACAAAAGTGAAGAGGAAGGAGAGAGGAGTGCCTTGAGTCTTGTTCATAAACTCTGAATTTACTTAGGCCACCTCATAAAATACATTTGATGATTCTGACTCAGATGCTGCAAATCTCCAGAGTTTTCCAACTAACAGATCACAAGTTTAGCAAGAGAAAAGGCCAGAGTTTATAGGGTCTGGTTTTTTGCAAATACACTGAACAATGCTTTCAAACGAATTCTGTTTTCATCCTGGATGGCTATTTGGACCCTTGTCATGCCCTTCATTAAAGCTCTCTCTCCGCTAGAAGTCAAACAACTTAACAACAAACACTGTAGGCCTTCACCAAGCCCGCAGTTAGTCTCCATGTTGTGATTCAGCTGGTAGGAGACGCAGAAACACAGTGTGCCCGCTTCCCAGAGGGTTGCCTCGATCGCTATTCCTCTCCTGGACCAGCTGCAGATCAGAAGGAGTTTGTCACCATCAAATGATGTTTTTCTCTGTGATGATGTTTCCTTATATCACTTGCTTAAAAAGTGCATTGCTGGAGCTGGTAAACAGCAGTGCACAAAGAGGCACTCAGCAATGCTGGAAGGCTACCTTCAGCAGGGCGAAATTCAACAACGTTCTGCAGGTGCATGCGAATTTCTCTGCAACATGGTTGGTAATCAAAAAGGGTTTTTGAAACAAGTCTCTGTTGCTTTCTATTTTGTAGTATATGCCAACCTGTGTATGTGCAAGGCTACGGAAGCTGAGAGACAGCTTGCATGTGCTGCAGAGAGGAAAAGAGAAACTACAGAAGCAGAGGTCAGTAAACAGCACTACAAAGCAGCACCCCCCCTTCCCCGTGGGGTGGCTGGCCCGGTGAAGGCAAGATGAACTTCTATCTCCTCTCATCTCGCCAATCATTTTTATAGCCCAAAGTTTCCGGTGGCAGCACAGGGGGAAGATGAGTTCACCACCAAAAAATATGTTCTGAAGAGCCATGCAATGAAGACATCCTTTTTCTTCCCAGCATGTGTTACGGAGGGAATGAGTATGACACTCTGGCAGTAAACCAGCTCTACAGATGTTATGGGGTGTCAGCTACAGAGCCTGCAGAACAGAGCCATTTGGTGGTGTCATAACGGGTATGAGAAGTACATGAAAGGATGGAGCGGAGCTGAACACAAGAGTGTGAATGTCAACAGCAGGCTCGAAGAGCGCACCCGGCACCCAGCATGCTGTAGAGACAATTACGTCAACAGACATCACTTCATTCCCAACCTAGAGACTGTCTGCTCAACCACATCAATAATCCATCCTTGTCAGCACCGTGTTTCAGTTTCCTCAGACGTTTTATCATCACCACTCCCTCTTCATTGGCTTGTCCCTCAACTCGTCAAACGTGTCAACATTACAACTTGCTAGAAAAAACCTAGGAGAGGGAATCGAGTGTTGCTGATCCATGGACCCCAGAACCTGTGTGGCTATAAAATAGGAGCAGATTCTGGTTCCAGTGAACTCAGCCAAGGTACAGCAGTCTGCTGTCTGTCCCCCCTTTCATACAGTCTCTGCTCCTGCAGCGCACACAATTTTTTACAACCAACAGCTTTTTTCCAAACAGTCCCAAACCCTGTAACAGAATTGGACAGAAAAATGAGTTGATCATTTTCATTTGAAACTGCTGCATACTCAGCAAATGCATCTCTCTCTGAAGAAATGCAAATTGCTTACCACTGATGAACAGCTTCATAGGCAGAGCTGCACATGAAAAATATAATTCCCCCTGTAGGGA